TGTTTTTAAGATGATTTTTTGAAATTTTCCAATGGTTTTATACAAATACGGTGAACTATGAAAAACAAAAGAGTAGAATAATTGTATATAATACTTACTTATGTTAACTAAACGAGACTCCAACGCCTTCAAAAATTGAAATATATTAGATAGTACGTAATCCATCTTGATAACACTCTGCAATAAATGCAATATTTTTTTTATTTTTTTTTTTTATGAAGATGAACAAATATATGCTAAACAACTCTTTAGGACAATATAAGCAATATTATTTTTTATACATCTTGATATTAGGGCTAAACCCCTCAGCACTCTAAAAAAATATTAAAAATCTTATAAAATTACTTATTTCCTACTAATTTCCATGATAATTATAAACACGGTTGTCGGTATTTTTCCCGAATCAAAATTCTCGAATGAATTTTTTCCCAAACGATATTTTATCCGAAAACCCAAAATCTTTTTTCCCGATGGTAATTTTATTGTTTCCGTAATTAAATTTTTTTACAACTAAGAGCTATAATAACTAGGTACCTATATGTATTTTCTATAGATACATCATAATATTTTATACCTATAACTAAAATACAGCTATTGCTATACATTCTAATCCCGAGCTGAATCTTGAACGAAAAGTAAGAACTCTATCAAAAATAAAATGATGGGATTTTCAAAAGCGAATTATGTTCATTACTGCTGATTTTAATAGATACCAGCCGTTACAATTTCTGAGAGAAACTGCGCATAATATTGTATTGTAAATCATAAATATTATATTATTATTTATTTTTTATTTTTTATATGTATTATTTTGTTTATTATAATTTATCAATTTTAAAATATTTAATGATAACACTACAGCATTTATTATGTTATTATACATTTTATCAATTAATTTTAATTTTTATATACATTATAATTTATCGTTTTTAAAATCGATTCAGGTAAAAGGTGTTCGTAAAAAAGGTTTCGGGTCTACAGACTTTCGAAAAAAATGCCATTTGAGAAAAAGGTCATTCGGGAAAAACGGTGGGTACCCAAAAACACAGCATACACAATAAAACCACACAACTAATAATAAAATAAATTATTTGTATATTTGATGTAAATATTAATAGGTACCCAATCAGTTGTATTAACTATCTATAAAAATACATAATTATGAAAAAATAGTGTTCAAAATAATTTCGTAAATATTACCATTAAATAATAATAGCATTTATATTACTTAATATTATATACTTACTCACTATACCATATGACATAGTTATAGACTACAAGTATCTATAGTTATGGACTTAACTTAACCAGGGTTGGACAGTAATCATATAGATTTAATTTGACATCAAATAAGAGACATTTATAACTTTTAACTTGTGATCAATTATCAAGAACTTTTAGATATACTACATTGCAATTTGTATTGTAACTTTAAATAAAAGATGATATAATATGTATCTAAACTGCAGTAATAATTGGATTATAGCAATATTGTTTGTATTGTGTATATACAATATACCTAACGTAATGTTTATTTCATAATGTTATGATTTTTTCCTAACCTTTAAAACATTATGTACTAATGACTCGATTAAGATATAAATTATTAATGTATTAATGTAATATATCTTATTAAATAAATGTTTTAAGTATGTATCAAAAAACATCCGTGTCTACTTTAATCGATTATGTTACTTACTCGTAATATCGTAGATAAAAGTGATGGATTAATAGAATTATAATATGGAGATTATAAAGTTACTCTTTATATTTTGAAATAAACATAAAACAGGTATACCATTATTAGGCTGATTATTATTAAATTCATCCATTAGAATATTTTTAAAGATGCTTCAAAATTGTGTTTATTAGATTTATGCCAGGCAGTTATTACTATAAATGAAGAAAGTAAAAAATTAACTATATCATCTTATAAAGGTTTGTTCATGTTTAATCGATTACCATATGGCATAGGTTCAGCTCCAGGTTAATTACAGAGGAAAATGGAAAAGTTTATAATATACTGTTTTTTTCTATATAAAAATTATTGGTAGCTGGAAAAATGGAAATGAAGTAAGTGAGAGACTGTATAGGGTTTATAGGGTTTTAAATAAACTTTTTATGACAAGTTTAACGGTTAAAAAAGAAAAATGTTAATTTTTTAATGATAATGTTACTTTTTCAGGTTACAAGGTGATAAAAATAGTCTTCGTGTACCAATAATCTAAAGCAATTAATAATGTGGCAGTATCTTAGATTACACTGGATGTGGAGAAATTTTTGAGGTTGCTAAATCATTATAGCAAATTTTTAGATAATATATCTTCAATTGCTGGTCCATTTTATACATTTTTAAAGAACAATACAAAATTCGTACAATTTAATTCGTGTTTGTATTTTCTATTGTCTGAGAATCATTTTTCTTTCTTAAAAAGTATGGATCTCACAAGTCACTTTTCTATTTATTATATAATATTTAATATTACGTATATCATATTATTATTATTGTTTATTACAAGGATATTTTTTGTATATGGTTTGAAATCTAACTGTCCTAGAAACTTTTTAATTACAAATCATCGTCCTGGAAATTAAATAAAAACTATCAAAAAATATTTTCAAAACAATTACTAATGAAATAGAATTTTAATGAAGCGATTTAAAGAGACATTTTTATTTACTTGTTAAGATATTGAGTTGGAAAAACCATTTTTTTTTTTAATTTTCCTGAAATGAAAAAAATAAAAATAATTTGGTTCTAAAATCAAACATTTAATTATCAAATTACAGATTCTAATTAGCTACCCTTACACAATATTATCATTTGCGTATTTTAAGAGTTGAAAGGCTAAGTAATTTATATTTTAAACATGAATAAGATTATTAATAATAATAATAATAATAATAATAATATATTAATAATGATAATGATAATACAAATTGTATATAATAATAAATTAGTAAAAAAACGAAAAATATCTGTAAGGTGGATGTAAGAACAACATAAGCGTTTTCTTTAAATAGCATTGATAAATTTCAAATATTAAAAGAAAAATATAAAATTAAAGAAATAAAACAATATGCATTAAAAAAAATTCTGTATTATCACAAGCTATTTTATCTACTTGCAAAATGTAATCAAGTATTTTCTTTGAATTGTGTTCTTTATTTTTTTTTTAATGCTTAGATAACATTTATTAACTTGTAAATAGCTATGTAATAATACACGATAAGTATATAATAAATTATATAATAACAAATAAATTAGACTTAGTAATAATACAACAAAATATTTAATATGCAAATGCAAAAGTCGATTCGTATAGATATTATATTAAAAGATCGTGCAGACTGCGTAATTTTTTAAATAATAATAATAAATACATATTTTTTAAATTCACTAATGATAAAAATATAAAATACAATTAAAAAATAAACTATAAACTTAAGCTACAATAATAAATCTTATGCGATGATTTCATCTGTAAAACGCACTTCAATGAATTTATATCATTGCATTGTTATGATTATTCATAATTAACTATTCGTATAAAAGATTAATGTATAATGATACTAACATTTTTAAAAACTAAAATACATAAATCACGTTTTTTCTCAAGTCATCAGAGTAACTTTAATCCTTGACGGAACATAGCACCATTTAAAAAATGATTCGTTAAAAGTTTTCACGAATCCTAAATAATAATCATACCAAGCCTTCGAAATAAGTCGACGAGCTATGAATTTGGATAATAAATATTATATAAGTACGAATAAAATTATATCTTTTTATAAGACTAATAAAACCACAAATAAATGAAGACAATGTTTTTTAGATAGAATCTAGTGAGATTAGAGATATAATTTTCTAGTGTTTAATTCAATTACGCGCGTACAGCGAAATACATATTTATTCTTACACATCATATAATACTTATAAGTTATAAGTTATAATATGGTATGACTCTTAACCACAGTAATAATAACAACACGGTAATAAATAAAATAAAATAGGGGTTAAAAATTATGTTAAAACTTTAACGTAATGTGTGGAAGTAAGGATGGAGAAATCGGACGTAATGAAGTAGGAGTGTTTTGGACAGAAATTTTCATTAATGCATTTTAGTTATACATATTATATTATATAGCAATTCTAATTTACGATAGTACCCAAAAATAAATCATAAGCTCGATGAACAGTAATCAAACTAATGTCTATCACTGGTTATAGTGGATAATCAACTATAATTAATTGTTATTGTCGTTAACAGGTTTTTCATTGAAGCTTGCCATTACATTGTTATCCATCTTTAACCCCCAAAAAAATCGTAATGCAAAACGCAGTACCTATACCTATTAATATTATTCTTATGTATACGCATGGAAAAATATCACATTTTCCGCGATATTCTACAATAAAATGAATGCGAAATTGTGAAATAATAATCATCATAATAATACTAACTTTGACAAACATAAAAAATCTTTTCAGTTGATTTATTTTTTGAACCTATCTAATAAAATGGAAGATACTCATAGAAAATGATAACAGTCAAACATATTAGCTGGTTTAATCTATAATAACAATAATTCGGAATAAAATATTTACGATGAATTAATACCTATACAGTAAATTATTAACACGACTCAATGATTGGATCAACTTTAATAAAGGGTTCTTAAAAATAGTACCAACTATAATTTGTCGAACATTCAAACAATTGTTTGTGGGATTAAAAATTAAATAACTAAAACATATTAGGTATAAAGGTTATTCAGCAATTTATTTTCCGATTTTAAACGGTCTCTCCGATTACCCTGTCATACAGTCAGTTCGTAAAAATGTATTATTAAAAATGTTCATCACATAACGTTTTCGACATGTTTAAATTCCAATTCCCAAAGCGAATTATTAAAACTATTTGATAAAATACCTGCTATTTTCATTATCTTTTACTTTACACAATATAAATATTTAAGTAAAAACTTATAAAGTACCTATATGCATTGTGTATATTTTTGTAAATATTTTAAGAAGAATAAAATAAGTAATTATTGAACAATAATTAAATTGCTAAAATGAAATAGAAGCGCCCGATGTTAGTACTAAAAAAATGTGAATGAATATAAAATAACTAAAATGTATTAAAATTGTTTCGTATGAAACAGAATGAAAAAAGTAGAACTACCCAGGATGGATTGTCCAGTCTTGTAATTTAGTGTGCACTGTTAATTCACACGCTCTGCCAAAAAAAAATTCATAACGGAAGCGAATATACTTGTTGTACTTGTTTACACTAATAATTTAATATAAAGCAGCCATACATTTCATTAAGAAGTAAAAATGGACAGACAGTTTTATCAGTTATCACACTTAACAATATATTTCTAATAATATGATGGACGAAGGCTATTTAATTATTCGCATTAGTATATATCTATAGTCATTTAATTAAAATTCTAGTCTATATGCGGAGCAGCTGGTATTGTGATCTTGTAATTTGATCGTGCATCGGCTGGCGCTAGGACTTAAATCAATCTTCAACTTTGTCAGCAATTCCTCATTTTCTGCCACCCATTGACCCAATGTATCAGTATCATAAGTTGGTATTATGGTGACTTCTGTTATAGCATAATTTATTATAATAACGAACAAACGTTTAACAATTTTATGATACTAACCTAAATCTTGATCTTCCCAAGCCTGTTTGCCCTCGATTAAGGCATTTAAGACTTCTTTACTAGGGTCGGTACCGCTAAAAACGTAATTTCTTGCTCGTACACGCTTAAAGAAATCAGCAGATACATATTTTGAATTTCCATGATGTGGCACATAAATAAGATCCAGGTAAACAGGATTAACTCTCGTCATCCGACTTGATGATCGACTTCTGAGTTTGCTTGGCGACTCCGATCGTCGAATTCGATTTTGCGCGTCTTTGTCTAAAAAAATAACATAATATTAAAATATTATTTTTTACTTAATCCATTCTATAAAACATTAACTTATATTAATTAATATATATATATATATATATATATATCTCTTAAGAACTTTAATTATTATTATGTTCTTACCCATAACATTCGTTACTGGTTTGTTGTCTACAATCTTTTTCAAGTTCTTCTTAGGTGTATTCTTACTACTCATATTTTGAGATTCTCCTAGTTCAAGAGTCGGCTGTGTTGGAGACGGAAGACCTAATGGTTTTCCCCACTCACGAATTGGATCAAAACCGTTATTATTAATATTTTGTACTGGTGGTAGACCTAATGGTTTACCCCAACTCTGAACCGTATCGGACGAAGTGCCTTGGTTTTGATTAATATTATCATGTTCAGTTGTTTTAATTTCTGTAACATGATTACCATTTGCTTCAGTAGATGTCAAATCTTCTCCTCTAGTAATCTTATGTTCCTGAATAGCTTTATTAAAATCCATATTAATTTCCATTTGCCGATTATCGAGTTGCATTTGTATTGGTGATGGCCCAGTTGACATAGGAGATCCAGCCATATCATCATCAGTTTCAATTTTATTGTCTTCGTTATCATCATCGTCATCATCAATATTCATTGCTGATCTAGACATGCTAGACTCGCTGTGTGGAGTAAATGGTCGCTCATCATCACTACTACATTGATGCAATGCTTCGTGTACATCCCTTTTCAATTGCATTACTATGTCCTTAGTAACACCTAAATCTTCGCTATTCAGAATAACTCCTAGTGGTTGATTCGCACAAATTTCTGTTGTTGATGAATTATTAATGATATTTTTCTCATCAGAACCTTTCACTATATCTTCAATTAAAACGTTTGATATTTTACTAATACATTCTTCGGATGTAATACTAGAAATTGGAGCGACACTTTTTAAATTTTCGGATTCATTATCAGTAATAGCGGTATGTTTGATAAAAGATTCGTCACTGATATTTTTTCCTACCATTTGAGCAACATTCATAATACCAGTCTTATTATTTTCTTCAATCAGTAATGTTGAAATATCTGGAGACTTAACATTAGAAAAAGTGATATTTTTAACAGGAAGACTATGATCTGTATTTATGTCATTTATGTTATCATGTTTTTCATTAACTTTAACTTTATCGTCGATTTGTAAAGAATTTGTAACATTGTTTAAAACATCAGTATTTTTATCATGCTGTAATGGCGATTCAGTTTTAACTTTTAATTCTTCAATATTACTTTTCAAAGGAATAGATTCAATTAAACTACACGAGGATTCAGAAATAATATTAGTGGATATTTTTTTATCGTCATCAGTTAAAAATTTAGCAATCTCTTCACATAAAGAACCTATTCTACCTAAAGATTTTGATTCTTCCACTTTTCTTTCAATAACATCAGACTTATTTTTATTGCTTTCAGAAGGTGGCAAAATAATGATTTTATTATCATTTTGTAAATCTTGTGTTTCATTACATACAGTACTCATTCTTGGAGATTGACATTTTTCTTCTTCAGTTTTTTGGAATATTGAGCTTGTTGTACATATCATAAAGTTTTCTTTTTTACAGATTTCATCATTTTGAGACTTGTCTGGTCCTTCACACACAGATCCCACTTGATTGTCTATTTTAGATTCGGTATTTACAGTCATAGATGTTGAAGAAACAGCTTGTTCATTTACTTTATTTGAAAAAACATTTTCTGTTATATTTTTAAACGACAGATTTAACATTTCATCACACAAGGATCCTGATTTGTTAAATATTTTAGTATTATCATCAATATTGTGTTCATGAATATTGGATTCTTGAAGACTAGAACTCTTTTCTCCGATTTGTAATTTTAAAGGTTTATCAAATGATTCATCAATAACAGAACTTTTCCTACTAGAAAGTTTTGAAGATTGAGTATTTAATTCTTGACAAATTGAACTAGTACTACATGATGAAACTGTTGAGGATTCATTCTTATCCTGACAAAAAGAATCTTTTCTTCTACATATCTCAACATCATGTTTGTCGGATAATTGAAAACTTTCCGTATCTTGAGGAGTAGTAATATTTTTACTTATTAATGAAGTAGAAACTGAGTTATCTTCATTAAAAAATATGTCAGATAAAACATTATCTGCAGTAGAACAATTATTTTCACTAGGTACAGAATCACGTAATTCTTTTAAATTGGTTCTACAAGAAATGACTTCTTCATTAGTATTTTTTTCCGAACCGTCTATTTTTATTGGTTCTTCATAAATAGAATCCTCATTTTTTAATACTTTAGATCCAAAATTGTCTTTAACAGCAGAACTTCCTATCTCCCCACCGTGAAAATCAACCTTAGCTTGAGTCATAGTTGTATTTTCTATTTCATAAGATTCATTATTCGGAGACAGATACTTAGTACTATTCATATCACAATTACAATCCGCTTTAACCGCAGAAGTAAACTCCAAATTCTCAGATACAGTATTAAATAAAGTTTTTGTTTTAAGTTCTTCAGTGTCAATGTTAGAATTGGGCGATTTTAAAAGATCGTCACCAACTGAACCAACTGCTTTGACATTTTCTTTATCATTAAGTGTTTCTTTAGTACTTTCTTGTTCTAGCGCAATTGAACCGGATCTAATTATAACTTTGGAAGCTGTCGTGGTAACTTCATGAATTAGAGATTTTATTTGATCATCACAAACTGAACTTGAAGTTGTCGTAATGGAATCATGAATCGGAGATTTTAGTGGCTCGTCACAAACTGAACCAGCTCTACTAGAAGCCTTAGATTCTAGTTTATCGGTGAGTGTTGCTGTATTTTTTTCTTGCTCTTCTGTAATAGAACCAGATCTGCTTG